GATAAGTGTAACTACTGGGCTATGTCCTCTCAGCTTTTCCTTTCTGTAGAATGACATCAGTCATTGGATTAGAACTCAGTATTTTCACAGGACATTATTTTAACTTAAATCTGCAGGAACCCTATTTCCAAACAAGGTTACTCACAGTTTCTAGGTGGACATGGGTTTTTTGAAGAACAGTATTCAACACAGTTCTACATATTATGTTTATTGTCTCTCTAGCCTACTAGAATGCTAGTATCATAACATTAGGGTTTGCTTTTTTGATCTAGGGTTTTTTTTTTTGAGATTATAATATAATTATAACATTTTCCCCTTTCTTTCACATACACCCCTCCTGCTTTCCTTCAAATTCATGGTGTCTTCTTTAAAATTAATTGTTATCATATGTCTTCTATATATGTTTTCAGAGTTGACCATTTGTTATTGACCAACTCATTCTTGTGCTCTTCACTGGGGAAGGCTATGTCTTCTGCTCTCAGCTTTTCTTGGTAGCTTGTCATTCTCTGTACAGGGTTGAGAACTTGTGGGTCTTCTCCACCCACTTTGGCATGTTTTTTGATATTGTACTTGTTTATCTCACATTTGGGCAGTCATGCTGGTGAGATTTTATGGAAGTAGCTTCTGACATTACTGGGAGATCATTGTTGTATTTTGTTTATTGTTAGATATTCAGTGTTCAGAGAACTGCTTGATACATAGTAGACAGTATTTTGTGAATGAACCTTAGTGCCTATCTGCCTCCAACTCCTGATGCAGGTAAGGATGAACATGTAGGTATTGTCTAGAACATGGACAATGTCCTACAAATGTTTGAAGGATGAATAGAAATATTCACTATATATGTATATATGTATATATATATATATAACTTTAACATTTAGAGAGTGCTTCTTTAGTAGAAGGCACTGGGAGAATATGCAAAGAAGTGAGAAGGAAGATGTTGAATACATATTATGGTTATACTTGGGAAATCGTTCAGTCTTGGGCAATCTATTAAGTGGAGGTAATAACAGAACCTACCACATAACATTGTCGTGAGGATGAAATAAGCTTATATATTTAAATTGTTTAGCATAATACCCAAAACACGGGAAACACCATAATAGTAATAACTGCTATTATTATAGCTGTTGTTGTTATGTGCTAGTTTTGTTCAACACCAAACTAGCTGTTTTTAAAAACAGCTCTATTGAGATATAATTCATATGCTATCTATGAAACTAGGCCCTTTTAAAAAGTACCATTTCGTGGTTCTTAGCTTACAAGCAATGTTGGGCTATCATCACCACAATCTACTTTTAAAGATGTTTTTATCACCTCCAAAAAAGTCCCATACACATATTTTAATTTATTTTTTGTTTTCAATACATCCTGAACACAATTTCCCCTCACTCCACTCCTCCTAGCTCCTCCCCAACTCCTCTCAGCCCCTTCTACTTCCTCTCTTACTCACATTTTTATGTATTAATACTTCATTCTTTCTTTTGTTGTTTTGAGACAGAATTTCACAATGTAACATAGATTGGCTTGGAATTCACAATCCTCCTGCCTTAACCTCCTAGGATTACAGGCAGGAGCCACCACACCTTTTTTATGGTCAAATAATATTTCACTTAAAAATTTAAATTTATTTATTTTACGTACAGTGTTTTGCCTACTTGTATGTGATGTGTGCAAAGTATGTGCCTGGTGCCCATTGAATGTGTTGAATCCCCTGGAACTGGAATTATGGATGATTGCGACCTGCCTTATGGCTGTTAGGGATCAAACTCAGGTCCTCTGCAAGAAAAACAAGTGCTCTTAACCACTAAGCCATCTCTTTACCCGATATTTCAATTGGTGATTATACTACATTTTGATTATCCATTCATCAATTGATTACTTGGTTGTTTCTACTTTGTGGTTATTATTATTGTTATTTACAAGACAGCCATAGATACTCTATGGGCTTTTGTATAGTTGTACACTTTCATTCCTCTTGGACAGATACCCAGAAGTAGAATTGTTGACTCTACCTTTTTTTTTTTTATTACTTTTAAGTACTAGCCATAGTGCTTTACAAAGCAACAGCCAACAGCTCCTTTTTACATTCCTGCTTGCAATGAATGAGAGTTCCAATTTCTCCACATCCATGCTCACATTTTTTTTATTAAAAATACTTTTGATTTTGATATCATAGAGAATGTGGTATCTTATTGTGTATGTTTGAGAAACTGATGTTTAGAGGCTCAAAGGTTAAGAGCACTTGCTGCTCTTCCAGAGTCCCAAGTTCAGTTCTCAGCTTCCTCATCAGTAGGCTCCAGGGGATCCAATGGTCTTCAAGGGCACCTGTACATATGTAGCACACACTTACACACACACACACACACACACACACACACATACATACATACACACACACACATTGTTATGCCCAGATTGCAAAGACTCCAAAGACTACCAGGAGACTGACCACACAGGCAAAAACAAAGAGCTTTTATTATGGGCTTAAGTTTGGACTCCCACCATCCAACACAGTGGATTAGGGAGGGGAGCCCTGAGTAGCTGCAAAGCTGGGTTTTTATTATTGTTTGAGCAAGGAACGGGACTTTTCCAACTTATCAATTATGTGATTGGTTCTCATTTCGCAGAATCAAGCTTGTCATAAACAGTTGTTGCTGATCTAGGGAACGGGGGGGGGGGGACCTCATGGAGTGTCCAAGTAACAAGGTGTGCCAAGGTAACAAAGAGTGCTAACAAAATGTGCCCAGGTATTGGTCAAGTGTTTGGGGACTTTTCAAGGCAGTTACTAGACTACTGTTTCTGATTTTCAGGGAGGTTATGGAGTTATTGTATCTCATTTTCATGGACTATAGTTTCATGTTCAGAGAAATAGAGACATGATCCAAGCAACTATGGGAACTTTATCAAGAAACAGAATCTCAGGCCGACAGTATCTTGTGAAGCCTGTCATGGAAGCACAGCCACTGCAGTACAGTTGCTTGGGTCCTTCAACACACACACACACACACACACACACACACACACACACACACACACTACCACCACCAACAACAACAACGTCTTTACAAAGAAAGTGATGCTTATTTTCCATTAACTTCATTTCATTTTCTGCTCAATAGCCTGTGGAAGGATAGCTTAAGACCATTCACTCTGTAGCTGTTTCTGTCAAGGCAGTCTGTAGCAGTGGGAACTGAATGAAATCCAGTACTCAGTGGCCAGTTGAGCACACTAGAGAACTGCTGCATGGGCTCAGAAGACATTTTCCATGCTTTCAAATCATTCTGGATCCAATCTCATGTCAGAAAGCTGCCTATTCCATTGTCCCTGAGCTTCCTCCTTGGTTAGTCACAGCCTTCTCAGCACCTTTCAGTTGACCCTTCTGTTCAATCTCTTCAGGATCTCTGCAGAAGTACAGAACATTTATCACTGGGAAAAATCAAGGATGGCTTTAGAAAAGAAGCATTTGACTCAAGACTTTCTCTTTCTCTTTCTCCTCGTCTTCCTCCTCTTTCTCCTCCTTCATGTGTATGGGTGTTTGCCTGCATTTATGTCTGTGTACCACATGCATTTATGCCTGGTGCTCATGGAGGCTAGAAGAGGGTGTCAGATTTCCCTGGAACTGGAGTTACAGACAGTTTGACTTGCAATGTGGGTGATAGAAATTGAACCCAGGTCCTCTGGGAGAGCATTTGTTCGGTGCTCTTAACTTCTGATCCATCACTTCACCCCCCAACTCTTTCTTTCTTTCTTTCTTTCTTTCTTTCTTTCTTTCTTTCTTTCTTTCTTTCTCTTTTTTTTTTTTTTTTTTTTTTTTTTTTTTTTTTTTTTTTTTTTTTTTTTGTTTTGTTTTTTGATTTTTTTTTTTTTTTTTTATAGCATCGCACATTATGGCCCAGGATAGTGTGGAACTCATTATTTAGTCCAGGCTGGTCTTGAACTCCTAGCAACCTTCCTGTCTCAACTTTACAAGTGCAGGCATTATAAACACATCCTGAGCATTTGATTCAATTCTTGATGAATAGATAAAACTTCACTGGATGGCAATGATGAAAAGAATGTAGATGCCATTTCCATGGGGAATAGAAATGGTGGTTGAAGAAAGATGCTTTGACATCAAGTCTGACTCTAGTGGGGATTCCTGGGGCTTGGAGTGAATGATCTTGAGGATGACTTCGTCAAAAGACCCAGTAACTGGCTAACATTGGGAATCTTTGCGTTAGGGTAGGATTAAGAATCTGAGCATTGATTTGGATGGAGAATTTAGAGGCTGGCTGGAAGTAAATGCATGTGGAGGTTCTCTCTCTCTCTCTCTCTCTCTCTCTTTCTGTGTGTGTGTGTGTGTGTGTGTGTGTGTGTGTGTGTGTGTGTGTGTGTAGGTGGTGGTGGTGAGTTGTGGAGCAGAATTCCAGGGACTGCCTGGGATAGGGAACTACAGACTGGGTGGGGTGGAGGATCACAGGGATAAAAGAAACACAGAAGTACAGGGATGGAGAAATGGTCTATAGACTGACTAGTTGTAATATCAAGAGATTGTCACAGGGCTGGAAGGAGATCATCTGAGACAGGAAGCCAGCTGGGATAGGGTATAGGATATTGATTGGGGTTGGCAGACTAGGGGGATGGAAGTTTGAGTTGGCTGAGTGCGAAGACTGCCTGGGCTGGGTGTTTTGATGGCTTGGATCTTGGGCCCATTGGACCAGCGCATTTTCGAATAGGTTGAAGGACTTCATTTGGCTGTTAGGTGAAGACCCCAGGACAGTTGGAATGAAGAGATTTCCTGCAGGCTGAGCTAAGGTTGGCATTCCGCTGAAGTGCCAGTGTCTTGGGGCTGGTCCAGTTAGAGTGCTGGTGGCGACTGCAGGTGGGGCGCGCGGGGGCGGGTAGGGAGAGCTGGGTGGGGGCAGGGGCGGGGGGCGGGCCGGCGGCCGGGGCGGTCCCGCGCGGCCGCGCTGCGCAGTGACTCCGCAGCGGGCGGAGCGCCGTGGGCCGCGTCCTTCGGAGCCCTGGCGGTGGCGGTGGTGGTGGCGGTGGCGGCAGCGGCGGTGGCGATAGCCTCACCTCCTGCGCCCCGTGCCGCCGGCTCCAGCGCTGTCTCCTGGGCCCCCTAGGGCCCCCGGGCCCCCGAGCCCGGTGCGCGCCCTCGCGTCCCGCCGGCCCCCTCCCCCGGCTGGGCCCGGGGGAGGGTGGCGCCGTGAGCGAGCGGGGACTGGGCTCTCTTGCCCATTCCCCTGTCCCTGGGCCGCCAGGATGGAGGCGGGGTCCGGGCCCCCCGGTGGCCCGGGATCTGAGAGCCCTAACCGGGCGGTGGAGTACCTGCTGGAGCTGAACAACATCATTGAGAGTCAGCAGCAGCTGTTGGAGACCCAGCGGCGGCGCATCGAAGAGCTGGAGGGCCAATTGGACCAGCTCACCCAGGAGAACCGCGACCTGCGGGAGGAAAGCCAGCTGCACCGCGGGGAACTGCACAGGGACCCCCTCGGCGCGCGGGATAGCCCTGGTCGCGAGAGCCAGTACCAGAACCTGCGTGAGACCCAGTTCCACCACCGCGAGCTGCGGGAGAGCCAGTTCCACCAGGCGTCCCGGGACGTGGGCTACCCGAACCGGGATGGCGCCTACCAGAACCGGGAAGCTATCTATCGGGACAAGGAGCGAGAAGCCTCCTATCAGCTCCAGGACACTACCGGCTACATAGCCCGCGAGCGCGACGTGGCCCAGTGCCACCTGCACCATGAGAACCCAGCCCTGAGTCGAGAGCGTGGCGGGAGGGAGGCTGGGCCAGCGCACCCGGGCAGAGAGAAGGAAGCTGGCTATTCCGCTGCGGTGGGCGTGGGGCAGCGGCCACCGCGGGAGCGGGGCCAGTTGAGCCGTGGCGCATCCAGAAGCTCCAGCCCTGGCGCGGGCGGAGGTCACAGTACCAGTACCAGCACCAGTCCGGCTACAACCCTCCAGAGAAAGTAAGGAATGTGTTTGCAACCCCCACTCTTCCCTTCCCTTCCCCTCTAGAGCCCTCTCCAACTTATCTGGTGGATAAAGTATATGAAGCCCATGCCTGATCCCATTTCCTGCTTCTACTGTCCCAATCGGGAGAAGCCAGGTCCTCCTCAACCAGCTGACATGTTATCCCTAGCCACCACACACTGGTTTTCTCAGATGAATGCGGGCTTCTTCCCCCCACCCCCCAGAACCAAGGCCAGTTAGAGACTACACCAATCCCCACTACCACCTTCCACTTCTTCAACCCCAAGCTGTATCCTTTCCAGAGGATAGATTAAATATATTTTAGACAACTCACAGTCACCAAAGAGAGAAACACTCCTACACACCTTTTTCTTGGTGGTGATGGTGGTGGGGGGTGATCTTGTCTTGAGGCATGTGGGGACCAGAATGGATTCTGGCGGCTTAGACATTCCTCTGAGGGGAACTGCAGCACATCTTGGCATGGGGGGGGGGTGATGGTGGCAAAGATGGGGGAGCAAAGATGGAGGCTAGGCCCTTGGTTAGTTTTTCAAAGTCCAGCTGGTCTCCACCCTTCAAGAAAAACAACACCCATTTAAAGGGCCCTACCAGGAAGGGAAGTCCATAGATCTCCCATCTGTTGGATCAGCTTCAGTTCCTGTGTTGTGATCTGTACATGTGTCTGAGACGGGTTAGGAATATTTTCTGAGTTGATGGGACATGGGCAGGGTCTACTTTCCCCATGTAGATACCATTGTATGCTGGTTGGGATACATGTGTGAGTCAAGGGCATGAAGGCTCACAGGGATGCCCTGAAGGCCCTCCTATTGCTTTGCTGCTATAATGAAAAGAACACCGAACTAGGAGATAGGAGAACTGGATTCCCTTCCAGCTCTGTTGCAGATTGGCTTTGTGACCTTGACTGAGTCCCTTCTTCTGCCCATCATTTCCCTTATATTTCTTTTAAAGGCGAGGACTGCCAACTGAGATTCAATGGTTATGTTACTAGCCCAGCCACACCAAAGACCAAGTCTGAAGTCCTTTAGCAAATGGACAGGCGTCCCCCTCCTCTCACTGCTCAGCTGGTCCTACCATGTGCCACAACTAGTGGAGTGTCTCTTGGAGGCTGGCCTGGGGGTGGGGAAGCCTTCTGCCTCAGGAAATCTGCCGGGAGACAGCTCTCTGCAACTCCCCCATGGTGAGGCAGCAGGCTGGGGTGCTGGGTTGAGATGGCTGGGCCCCAGGAGCAGCAGCTGCAGCTTGAGGGCTTGGCTGGGCTCCACTGCAGTGCACCCTCAGCTGAGTGTTGGGGTGGAAGGACAGCCCCAGTATGGGAGCACAGAAAGACTGCAAGGGGCACTGTGGTCCTTAAGCCTGGTTACAGACTTCTGTAGAGGGGTCAGGTCTGTGATGGAGGTAGCAGCCTCAATATGTATGGCTCCAGGGAGCATATCCAGGAACAGAGAGCATATTTGAGATAAAAATCAAGAGAACTTTTCTACTTAGCTAGTTGTGATGCAGTAGATTGCCTCCAGGGATGGGGGTGGTGGCTGGCCAGACAGGTCCAGTTGAGGTCTAAAGGGGGTCTGAGAGAGCTGGAAGAAGCGTATAGTTCCCAACTCTGACATTAAGCTCAGTGAAAAGAACTGCATCTTTCTCAATTTCAGAATTCCATTGCTCTCAGATTCTCCATTCTGCAGACATAGGTCTGAATTTCTTGGCTGGCTGGAAGCCCATTTGCCCTTTTGCCATCCTTGCAGGCCTGCTTCTGACTCCTTCTTTTTTGTATACTTTGCCAGGTTGCTTGTTGGAATCCCTTTCATCACATTTCCTACTAGTTAATAAAGAGGTCTAAATAGCACTTTGAATTTCTCTCAACCACATATTAACTGCTTGCCTGTCTGTGATTGCTTCATTTGGACTTCACAGCCAAGCTCACTCAGTGAGCATCAACAACTCCATTACAGAGAAGAAGAAACTGAGGCTTCCAGACGAAGGGGCCTTCCTTATTCAGGGTTATGCTACTAGTTGCTAATGGAGCTGGGACTAGCTAGAATCTAAGTCTGCCTGTCGTCGAGGCATGTGATTTGTTCCCTACAGAACTGAGAAAAGCCAAGAGAGCCTTAGGGATCTCCAGGTTTTCATCTAGAAGAGATGGGTCTGGAATGAGTGGAGGAGTGATTGGGGGAAAAAAGACTACCTTCCTCTTTCCCACCTTCTTCCTTGCTGGGTGTCAGGAAAACCTGTAGCCATTGCTGTAACCAGTGCTGCTGCAAGCGACTCCTCTGCTAGGCCTCTTCTGGGTTTTTAAGGAGTGGGTGAGAAGGCTGCTGTTGGAAGTGGCAGGCAGGGTGGGAGTTCAGCAGCTGAGGCTGCAGCATTGGGGGAGGACAGGCAGAACTGGTACAGGCTGGGCTCTGCTGGGCCCCAGGCTCCCTCTGGTGGACAAACTAAGAAGAATAAGGCCTGGGTCAAGATGTAGCTTGTTGGGAGCCTTTTCTGCCTAGGACTCAGTTTTCCCAACAACCTTGTGTGTCTGTCACTACTGTCATGTCACAACATAAGAAACTGAGAGCTCTGAGAAGTAATTTCCATCAGAGGTCATGCTACTAAGACAACATACTCGCATTCCTATGAACTTTGCCTTCGTTGCTTTGGGCATCTCCATCCATGTCCTTATCAGTTACACACCCTTCCCTACTGTTCTTCTGGACAGGTTCCAGGATGCCAGAATCTCTTCTGCTGGGCTCTGGGTGTGGTCTTCCTAGTGTGACAGAAAGCAACATGAGTCCCTACCTCCTTCTGGTGACTGGTACATGAGGATTTACTTGTTTGCTTACTAGTTAGTTGTTGATCCTGACTAATGCTTAGATCTTAATGTCATCTCCTGCCATGATTAGAATACGAGCTCTTTTTTGTTATTAAGCTTGGTCTGGTTCCCCCTCCCCCAGCCCTCGTACAGTTCTGACACCTAGAATGATTTATAGAGGCTTGGACCGACTGCTGAGTGCCCTGTGCTGAAGAGAGCTTTATTCCTACATTTGGTGCATGGGACTAGCTCTGTCTCTGCTTTATGCAGTGGTGGGCTGAACTCAGTATGGTGTTAACTGTCTATCCTCTGCTCCCTCCTCCCTACAAGGTGGCTCACATTTGGATACTGAACCTAGAAAGGCCAGCCTGGTGTTCTTGACACACAGGGCAATACATGGTCTGCCACCTCACTGTCGAACTATCATTATCCTCATGTGCTGAGGTGTCAGCATGCTCCCCACAGGGGCTAAGGCCACTGAGAAAAAGAGCAAGTGAGAGCGAGCTCCGGGAGAGGCTCTGGGGAATGCCTGGCTCCTTTGGCATGCTGGATTCTTTTCCTAGTGTGTCTCTCCTTCCTTTCAGGAGAGAAACTGTTTATTGTCCCCTTCACTGTGTTTGTGAGCCATTATGCTAGTGTGGGAGAAAATGATAATGTTAAGTTTGATGAGAATTAAGAGTCTTGCTTCTCTGTCTAGATCTGGGGCAAGAATGGGGTTGTTGTCATCCACAAATATTTCTTGGCTGTGTTCACAGAGCAGGAGGGGCCAACAGGCTGAGCAAACACCATGCTCTTGGCACTTGCAGAGCCTGCTTCCCACCAGCCAGGAAGATGGGGTTGCAGGCTTAGTCAAGCCATAAACACAGTACTGAGGACAAAGTAAATGGAAAGGGTGGGGTTTCTCAGAGGATATAGAGGGTCCAAGGCACGGGGCTTTGAAGAAGTATGCACAGTCCCTTGGTGTCCAGTTGAGATGGGTGGTAGAAGGAAGACACCAGGCTTGATGTTGATGGTCTGTTCTTACGTTGTCTAACGCTGCCTACCACGGCCTCTAAATTTACTGGGAGCAGAGTACAAGCCTGGAGCATGGTAAAGAGGCAATATGCATATTGAGTGAGTCCCAGCTTCCTGTGTGGTAGGCATTATCCTAGGAAGCTTTATGTAATAATAGCTAACATTTGTTTTCTACTATATTTACTGTGTGCTGGGCAGTTCATCCTAAGTGCTTCCCATGTAGTCATTGATTCTGTTTTCACATGAAGCCCTTCATGTAAATTACTATTTACTCCAGTTTATGGATTAAGAAACTGAGGTCTAGCAAGTTCAGGTAACATCTTCAGTTCCCTAAGTGAATAAGTGGCAGGACTGCTAAAAAGCTGGTAGGAACCCCGGTGGCTGGGCCTCAGTGTTTGTGGCATTCTGGGCATTCTAAGCATTCTTGCTCAGCAGGCAGGCCTATTTCTTATCTCATTTTCCTTGTCTTCTTGCCTGGTGGGTGTTATTGTTATCCTCACTTTTCAGATGAGGAAATGGGGGCCAGAGAGTGGAGTAAAGGAACCTGCTGAAGTTCCACAGCTGGGTGACACCTAGAATTGTCTGGCCCCCAGTCCTTTGATTCACTGCTCCCTGTGATAGGCAGGGTTTCGAGCTGCTGACTTGAGATATGATTCTAGCTAGCCCCCTACAATTATGTCTCGATTTTTGCCAGTGTCTTTTTCTGTCAAGCCTCTGATTGGCTGGAGCCAAGCCATGTCTGCAGTCTGGCTCCTATGTTTTCATTGTCTTTCTGTTTCTGTCCACAGACTCCTCTCATTTGTGTCAGTCCCTCTCCCACAGAACATACTTGAGTTACTCTGGCATTGTGCTGCCATCATTAGCCCAGCCAGGCCTCCTCATAGCCTCTGTGACTTGAATTCTCCTCCTTGGTTGAATTGATGACACCTCTCCTACCTTTATTTGCTGGTCCTTTAAGTTTTTTTTTTTTTAAATTAAGCTTTATTTGTATGGCTTTTTTTGCCTGCATGTATGTATGTACACAACATGTGTATCCATGCAGGCCGAAAGAGGGCACTGGATCTCCAGGAACTGAATCTGTGGGCTGCCTTGTGAGTTGCTGGGAATCGAACCTGGATCTTCTAGAAGAGCAGCAAGCACTCTATTTTTTTTTTAATTTTTTTTTCATTTCATTAA